TGCAAAATGTTGCGAATAAAAATACAAGATTAGACTAAATTGGAAGAGTGATGCATGATACTTCCGCAATTTCTGAGCATTATATTTTAAAAAATCTTCGAAGCGGGAACTTACAGAGCGTCACCGTCGTCCGAGTCTGAGTCGGGATCGTGTCCACTGCCTTCATCCCGCCACTTGCGATAACGTTCAATCAGCTCTTGGAGATAAGCTGTCTTGCGGGCTTTCTTGATGAAAGGATGCTTCATTAATTCACGCGCGGTTGGCCGCTAGATAAAGAAAAATGGGGGTATTCCAAAGATTGCATAGATAAGCACAACATTACAAAAGTTAAAATGCGATATGGTATGATTGAAAGAAAAAATAAGCTGGGAAAGAAAAAAACAAAAAAAGTGAATGGAAAGAAGATAAGAAGAAAAAATAAATAAAAAGGAAAGTATTGGAAAAAAAGAAAATGAATAGTAAAGAAACAAGATAATTCCAGAAGTAATTAGAGCATGTGAGTCTATAAAATGATACCAAGCCTAATATAAACAAGACCCATTCAAGGAACTAAGAGTTGAAATTTAGTTCCAAATATTTTCTTCTTCAGCTACTACGACTCCTACGACTCTTATGACTACAACTACGACTATGATTATGACTACATTAATATAATTGGTGGCCGAAGCCAAATGAATATGAAGTATAGTTTTAAAATAACAAGTATTACAGTATTCAAATGCATTATGCAATCCAAGCCAAATATTCCAAATTATTTTGACTAAGCAAATATTTAAAAAGTACAAGGTGGCATAGTAGAATTATCTAAATGTGACCATATTTTTCATTTCGAAGCAAAAGTTAGTTGGAAAGGATCTATGAATTAGCCTTACAGGAACCCGAAGAAAGATCACGTTGAATAGAATTTTGGATGTGGAATAAGGTAGTTGGTTCATCGTCCTAAAACCCCGTACCCTCGAAAAAAGGTGGCCAGTTGTAAGCATACTCTCTTCATTTACCAAATGGTAGGGTCCTAATGATGATGAAATAATCTGTTGATTTAATTGGCACTTCAAACATGCCCTGCGTACTTACGGATACACTGAAAAAAACAGAAACAATCCAGTCTGGGTAGGGCATTCACACCTCACATGACTCATCTACATGCATGCACACTATATACGTGCAAATACTCACCTAAAGCGCGTCATCAAGGGAAAATGCTAGTTTATTTTCTCAAGGAAACAGTCGTTGCCACATTAATATCCACACCCTCGTCATGTATCAACGTCACAAATTTGCGAGAATGTAGCCTAGACATAAGTTGGCCAACCAAATCATGAGATGCCTCATTAGGTTCGCAAAAATAATTAGAGAGTATGATTGCAGCTGGCCAAGTTTTGGTATAGGGTATATGTGATGTTTTCGTAAATGATGTGATACTTTTAAACCCAGATAGGATAAGGTGCTTTAAAGAACATTTTCGTCTCGATTAAGAAAATGCGATAAATAGATTCAAGAACTGAATGCATTCGATATATTTGTTCAAGATATTCGTTTTCAGGAGGATTATAGACATCTGACAAAATTCAAGACGAAACATTTGTAGATTAGTTTATTAAGCATGAATAGATGGAGTGAAGGAAAATAAAAATTATAAAAAACATACGAAAATGTTAAATTTCCAGTCGGACCGTGGACGTGGTACATTCCCAGAGGTTTCTTCGACATCGTAGGTCGAGTCTTATGCGTCTTAGCACCACATTACAACTCGTCAAAGAGGCAAGTGAAGCCGATCCTATAACTAATTGTCTGCCAAACAATCGTAATATCTTCATTACCCCTTGAGCTAATCATCAATCCTATATCCTCAAATCGCGCCTTCACATTCACAATTTTTTACTCGTTTATTTAAATATGGTCATGACTTTTGAGAGGATTTCATGAAAACTCTCCACACTCCACGCTAGCTTTCTTGCCCCCTTACCCCCTCACCCTTGAACTGGTAATGTTGATGAGATTCTGCCATATTGTTACATAGTCCTCCTTACCTAGGTCTTATCAGTTTCCATCTCGAACCGTAGGATCTGCCTGCTTCAAGTATTTCACTCGACCCCTGATACTCCATCAGTGTTACTCGAGGCGTTATTTGCCACACTATGGATCTGGGAGACTAATTCAAAGCTAAAGCCTCTGAATAATTATCATGGTCAAGCCTTTGCTTCATAGACATCGCCTATGATAAAACAGGCCTACTGTCAGCTAACTAGCTCTGGTCTCCCTCGCGTTTATACTATTTCTATCCCTAATACCAAGTATATTAAGTCCTATGCACACCACACTACATTTCAATAAGCGGGGAAAAATCGTGATAGTGAAGGCGTGATACGAAGGTGTAGGATAGGTAAATAGCTCAGGACAGGAGAGATACCACACATGTTTAGCACACATTTGGTCAAAGGATCGGCTTCATTTGTCTCTTTGAAAAGTTGTAGTGTGGTACTAAGAATGGCAATACTCACTAAAGCTGCTGGCAAAACCTGTAGGAATGTACCACGTCCACGATCCGACTAGAAATTATCATGCATACCATGAACTCAGGACTAGTTGCGTTCCTCTAAGTCTTCCCATCAATATGACCAAGTTGCGAAAATAAAGTCAAACTTATAGGATGTGAAGACCAAGATGTTGTGGCCTCGGGTATGGTCGCAGTCTCCTTTCGGAATACGGAAAGATCAGAATTAGCGGAGCACATCGCACGGACTGGACACGAGATCAATTGGAAAGCAACAGA